CTGAAGTGCTCCCTTGCTCAATGGAACCATCTGGGCACCATTCTTTGTCAACTTCAACTTGAGCCGGAAGTCACCAAACCCGACCTTATCTCTCGAACCCAGGGGAGAAGCTGAAAGTGAGGACTCGGGGATGGTCGGCGTCCATTTATTTTGCCGTGGATGCGCGAAAGACAGCTGTTTTAGCAGTGTGTGAATGCATAGTAGGTTCTGTTTGTGTGCTTTATCAAAATGGCTCACAGTTCATTGAATGTCATCCATTTGCAAATGATTATATTTTGAAGTCAGTTTCAAGCATGTGTGCTATCGACTGATATTTGGCTAGCATGAAGTTCTATTCGAATGCGACCTCCATTGCAGGATGGCAATGCTCGAAACACGCCAGAAAACGTTTTCATTGTGATCTTTTAAATGTAGTATAAATAATTATGAAAATGAAAATAATATAAAACGCATTGTATGAAACAAACATCCTGTTTTTTCGTCAGCCGTCTCGCGGACCATCGAGAGGAGAGTCGTTCTGATTACCAGCATAGTGCGTCGCTCGGCGCCCCTCGGCCTGGCGCCAGAGCAAACACATCACGGGAACTCCGCGCTCTGACCCGCGCAGGCTGCAGCCGACAGCGCCGACACCGGCGAAACGCGGTCAGCACCAGGGCAACATGAAACGGATGCTCGGCATACTACTCTCTCGAGAATGAACAGGGTTTTCAGGAGCCGGGAGACATTAGTCATTTGTACCGGGTACTCACTTGTCAGTTCCGGAATTTCAGGACATCAACAGGACCAGCTGTTCATTGGTTGTACAAGAGTTGTGAGTATGCGGAATGGGCTTATAAATAACTTGCCGAGGTTTCCTGGGGAAATTCCACTCACATGCGGAGCTCAAGCGTCCGGAGTCCGAATGATGCATTGGGCTTGGGTACGCATTTATTTTTGAGCTACCTCTCCGCGCGCGTCATGTGTGGCTTCGTCAGACGGCAGACCTTACATAATTTAAATGAACGGCCTGATCAGATGCCAAGACAGCTGTCCCTCTTTTATATCTTGTGCCACTAATCTTCCTTGCGTTTCTAGCCAAACGTAACTTCAGACTCATAACGATATAAGCTTACCGTGACGTGACGAGGCGGGGTCTCATCCACCTGTTTTTTTTTTTCGTGAAAAGGCCGCCGTTTTCAGCACGCATTATGATAGCGATACATTTTACCCTCATGTCTCGAGTGCGGATAAAATGTAGGTATGCATGTATGTGACAAAATATATGCGTACAACGACTTAAGCCCCAGGCTTCCTATGGTCAGGTCACCAGGTCGGAGTAAGCGACCTCGCCTCTAGAAAAGCGAATGGTCGTCCTAAAATAGCTACTCCAATGTGCCTAATGCTCTTAAAGTTTTAGAGAATGTTTAGGGTGTACCCGGTGTAGACGGACTATGTCAAACATACGTCTCGGATTTTCAGTCATTGTGATCAATGTTTAGTTTAGCATTTCGACAGTTTTATTATAATTCAATGACCGCTGGAACGTCATAGGTAGTAAACACTAAAAAAAGTCTTATAGTGGTCTGAATTGAATACTGAGAAAATGGCAACACGATGAATTTCACTTTGCTTTTGATGTCATGCTCATGCCAGACAATGAAAAGGTCCAGCAGGTTCCGAACTGACTGTTGACAGATACATGCATGAAAACACCTTGGATTTGTTCACCCTAGCGATACGAGTTGACTACTCAGACTAGTGTGTAGCCGTTCCTCTCCTCTCAGGTCATGACATTGACCAAAGGATAAAGGTCTCAAGTTGACCTTTTCATGTTATTCGACTCGTCTCGACGAAAGGAACAATATGATGGTAAAATCAGTGTTATTTGGCTTTATATAGCGACCTATGGTAGGAGCAAAATTTTCCTTTGGACGCAAGATGTAACGAGGTCAAAGGTGTCAAATTGATGTAACTGAGGGTACTGAAAGTTTCGTGTCATACGTTCAGCGGGTTTGAAGATATTTCAGAAAAACGGGAAGGGCTCTAAAGCTCCCCACCCCTCCAGTCATGTGTGAGTTAATGATTATGACTTTTCAAACTCCGCTGTATCATCCTATTGCTACTCAATCCAGGCGCCACTACGGTGGGTCTAATCTCTCCAGTCCCTGGGTTCGTCTCAATGTGACACGATCGTCGATCAGACCACGGCTCTTGCGCGGGGTTGATTGGCAATACCTGCCGGTTAGAGACGAGAATAGCCCGTTACGTTTAGTGCGTTTGCGATTTTGTGACGTGCTCTCTCATCGCCCTTAGTGGAGTCCGTGCAGGCAGCCAGCCCATAGTTATTAAACGTAACAAACCTTGAAAGTTGAGCTTGATTCGGCTGTGCGTAGGTATTTGTGTAAAGTATCCCACACTTCCGTCTTTTCATTCTCAGGACGATCCATCCTCATTTTTCATCCTTGATCGCACTTCCCCGTCCAGGGCTGATGGTCATCTCACCCATGAGACAACCGGTGAGGGTAGCTCCAATTGGACGCGTTCACATGCCTCCGGCGCAATGAGTCTTCCTCAGTAGCCGTTGATTAGTAGCGCCCCGGACGATTACCGTACTAATCAGTACAAAATGTTATACTGGCTAAAACGTATTCGCGCGGCGTTTGCTCTTAGTAAACGCATTATACAATGATCATTGATTATTGAATGGTTTCTCTTATTTCCATAGATATCCCTAAACTTTCTTGTCTCTGTTTCTAACGTCATCTACATCTAGGTCGTCGATCTAGCTCCATTCCGTGCGAACAATGCACTACACAGAAACACGAAATGGGCCCGGAAATTGTCAGTCTGCGGCGGCGCCCGGATGGACACGGGCGACGGAGCACGGCGGTCGCCGTCATGACACTTAGGGAGGGGGAGGGGCGCCATTCCCGGGGGAGCGACCACCGACAGATGATGATGAGATTCGGTGCGCGATGTCGTGCTCCTCAGACGTTAGCCGTCACCCCCCCCCCCCCCGCCCGTCGGCTGCATGGCTCATCAGCTGCGACCGTCGTTCCTGCAGCCGATGGCCCGGCCCGTCTGTAATCAAACGTCTATTGTCCAGTCGAAAAGTTGGCCTCGCCGAGTGAGTGAGGCGGCTGCTGAGTGGCCCGTGCTGCAGTGGATTGGATCGAGCGGTGGAGAGACGGGGTAGATGAGCTGATGTGGATCGAATCGAGGCCTGATGGTTCAGTTTCGTTTCATAGAAATACGAGTTCGTCTTCAATCTTCAAATTTATGACTGAGCCGTAACAAATAGGACTGAGTCTGCCACTTGCAAATATGTGCAGGTTTTGAGCCTTTTTAATAAGGCAAAGTAGCTTATCCTCCACCATATGTTTTATACCTCTGATCGACGTCTCCCTCCCAAGAACATCATTAGTCCCGACCTATCATCGCCTGAGCGGTCTCAATATCAAACTCCTGCCACGTAGGGGAGAGTGGGGTAATTTGGCCGCTTTTTTTAGAAAACGATGTAACTTAAAACTGACGACACATTTCTGCATTTTCTCAACGCTGGCAGGTGTCGCATTCATTTTACTTTACTGGACAGTGAACTTGAAATGATAGAGTAATTACTTATATTGAAATTATGACGTATTACAAAGGTCTGCAAGGCGGCCAAATTGCCCCACTAGCAGGGTTATTTGGCCGGGGGTGTGGGGCAATTTGGCCGGTGTTAGTTTGCGGTCGGGATTTTGTGTTATATTGCCAGTCAGCTTCAGATTCAGCAATGACGTGTGTCCTAGGACGCATTTACCACATTTTGGAGGTTGACTCATGGGGTCACAGGGGTCAAAATAGCCAAATTAGCGGCTCTAGATGCGAAGACAGTTTTTTTATGAATAACTTTTGAAGTAATCAAGCTAGGCCAAAACTTCGAGTACCATCGTAATTCTCGCGTCATTCCGCATCGAAACATATAAGTGTTGACCTCGAGAAGTCAAGGCCAAAGGTTGACCTCAGGTCACGTTACCTCAGGTCGCTTGACCTCAAGGTCACGTGATTTCAAGGTCATCATGCATATCATTCGATGCGCCTTGGCGAGCTGAACAGAATGAGACCATTTGTGCGGCTGTACCATTTTTATGTAAGGATTTATTAGCAAAAAACGTTTGGTAACCTTTGATGACGTCACATGCTCTTACAGTTGATCAATCGAAAGTAAGGCATCAAAGTAGTCAAAGTTGGTCATGAATCATGTCATTTATGGTACAATTGACCATGAAAACTCGGCCGTCCCAGCATAGTGACCATGAGCGCACCGGCCAAGTTGCCCCGCTAGTCCCGGCCAAATTACCCCATATTGCCATTCTGAAAATTTTTGTGTATAAAGTCATCACGGCTGTACGGAATTAGATGAAATTGCTCTTGGAACCGCTGAACACCCCCAAGAGTGGCGCTATAATGACTGAATTCGTTTTAAGCCGAAATACTACATGTTATACAACTTTGTAAACAGAAGTAGAGTTTACCATTTTCTAATGAAATTAACGTTTTATTAATTTTGAATAAAACTACGAGGGGCAAAGTTCTGACATTTGTCCTCCAGTTATTTCTACCCATGACAAATGAATAGAGACTAGAGTTATTTCACTCACTTTTATTAGACATCGTACAGGTGGGGGCGGCCAATTTACACCACCGGCCAAATTACCCCACTCTCCCCTAATCCTTCCTTCATCCAGCTGATGTTCACGTTTCGCATCGGATCATCGACACCGGTTTTCCGACACGACACCCCTCCCTCTCCCCAAGTTTCCAGTCCCATACACACACCGCTCTAAACCTCGCTGGCCTGCCGCCCACTAGGCACTCGGCGTGTTGGTGTGTGCGCGGTTTGGCTTCCCTCAGCTGTTGTCCGTTGTGGCTAGTAACCAGTCTGTCCCATCTCACCATTCAAAACAGACGCGGACGAAGACAAGAAACACTCGCCGCTCCTGGCCGGTCGGTCATTCAAACAGACGCAAACACATAACTCTGTAGCGTTCTCTGTATTATTCACTCCAACAATCCGTCCTCACGTCGCGAGGCCAGTGAAAGGACGCTGTCCACCCGTCGGGCACGAGACCACGCCAGACCACACGCGGTCCCTGGTCCCGGAGACCACGTTCCCGGTCCTCAGCGGTCTGGGGTGTTACGTGAGAGGACTGTACAGCGTTACACTGTAGGACTACGCCAGAGGCACCGTTAAAGCAACGTCAGATCTCCTGTGGTAAAGCTCGCCGACTTCAGTGTCATTGGCAGGAGACAGGTGGGCACTTAGTTTTGCTGCAGTATGGAGTTTGACTTTTTTAATCAGATACAACACATGCTGCTCAGGCACGACGGTAACTTTTCAGAAACACGCCTGGGTTTCCACAGCGATTAAATCACGGTCGATATCGTAGCATCGTCCGAGATGCCCTCCTCCCTGTATCACAACTTTTGACAAATAAATATTAACATCTCATATCAGATTATCAGATCCAGCACATCACGGTTTCATACGGGCCTCCGTACCCGTTTCCCTGCGTGTTTTCGTGCGCACTCCGCAAGGAACTCAAAGCATTCAGCACAGCAAAGCACCAGAACAATTCTAACAGATATCATCCACGCCACCACAATAAAAGCATCGTCCAATCACCTCACTTATAGGACACGTATTGCTATAAGCGATTAAGTACCGAACTTGGCCTCGAAGAACGTGGCACTGGTTAAATGGCCACTTGTCTGGACGTTGCGCACTGCCATGGATTGCACGACGGTAAATAGCATAGGGAAGCACTCCTACTAATTATTATTGTCGCATTAACAGTTGACATGATCAGCATTATATGTAAGTACTAAAAACAACCTCCGGAACGTCCACTGAGCAAATCAGATCTCATCTAACAGCATCGGATATGGCCGCCTGCCTAACACCGAGAAAGTGGTTAACTTTCACGTCAGATCGGTCAGTGGGGAGGCACCTCCCTCAGCGACAAGCCACAATCGCGGGTAAAAATCTCACTGACACACCTCAGATTCTGATTAAGATTCATTCTCAGCTGTAGAAAACACCAGATCATATTTGGGGTCCGCTCGCCACAATGGCTTTCCATCGCGCTGCATGGGCGGCATCTGTGCGTCAGTAAGTGTACTACTGATGACTGGAGTGTCCGATAGACGCCGCCTACGTCCGCACCTCAGTCTCTATGTCGGCTATCCGGTCGGGCTGCTGACTGCTGGAGCCGTCTGAGGGCTGGCTCCGTCGCCGGGTCGGCTGGGACATCAGCATCGAGCGCTGCGCGAACGGCTTCAGTTGCTGGAACACACGAGCGGGAGAGTTAATATCTCCAGGCTCCACGAGCTTGCCCTGCAGAGAGAGAACAGCTGTCATACAAGATCTCATCTAAGCCGGGATACTCGGGTGCTTTTAGCTCATCTTCTGCACACACATCTGGGTTCCAGAGCCATCTTATATCCGAGGGGACCAGCAGCGCGCAGTGTCTATGAAAGAACCAAGACCCAAATCTTAGTCTGTTAGGTGAACCATTCGAGGAACCGCTAACTACGAGCACGAACTACCGCACCACCTCATAACGTAAATCGGTTCCAGTCAACCTAACCGAACTGGGGCCGTACTCACGTCGATCATTTTCGTAAGAATTTTCTTAAGTTTGACCTACTTCTTAAGGAATTTTTTTTATTCACGTGAACTCCGTTGATAAAAACTTAAGATGTGTCGACGTGAATACCAAATTATACTTACGAAAGAAAATCGGCTTACGAAGTCGACGTGAATACGGCCCCTGGTATGCATTTCAAGAACGCTTGGTTGAATACACTAGGCATATTGAACTAACGAGTCATATCACGACGTTGTAACATTGATGATGTACCTGAAAGGGCACATAATAAAAATATCTACGAGACATAAAGCTGCTGCAAACACCACAGCACCGTAACAGCACGATGGGTTTGAATGGTTTAAAAGAAAATAAAAGCTTGTGAGTAAACTGATGAGCTCGATGCTAAACTATGAAAGGCCATATACCACACATTTACCGTAACTGGAAAGAGAAAAAGCTTAAAGGGACACTCCCACCTTAACATTAGTTTTGAGTTGAGATAGCCAAATTGGTGGCCATGGCCTGCAAATACCGGTTTGGGCACTCACAACATCGACAAATGCTTTAATTCGGAGATATGGAATTTCAAACTTGCAGTTTTCGGATTCTAAGGGGCTAGTGCATTGGTATGCCCCCTTAGAATTTGTGACGTCAGCGGAGATCTAACGATTTTTAAATCTTTTACTAAAACGTTTGGTAGCACGCGGTGGTATATGCTGCTTTGCGCGCAACAAATGCCGCACTTTCAAATAAAGTCGCTAGGAACAGCGGAGATCCCAAAAAGTAAACAAAAGTAAAAGTCTAATATCTTGAAAACCGGTGAATATTTTTCGATGAAATTTGGTAGATATTCGTTTTCGCTCTTTCTAAACCGAGCGACATCACTTTCGTGCCAATTCATTAACTTTTTTGAAGGTGGGAGGGTCCCTTTAATAACAAAAACTTAGTAAGCGCACGTCACACAGCCAGCTGGACAGAACAGAACTCCTAAGTAGCTATTAGTCTCATCCTGAGAGAAAAACTGCAGGGCGTCTGTTATTGATTCAGCCGCTGCACTTACAGACCTCTCGGTAACGCTTTGAGAGAAACGGCCGTCATCAGACGACAGGATTGATCTACGCCGAGAAACAGTTCATCGGTCGTCATACATCGGATACAAGTCGAAATGGAACCGTGAACATCATGAAAATAAAACCAATTGAGGTGTAAATAAACATACGTTTTGAGATCGGAACAACGAAATAAAAATACCTCGAAAAAGAAAACAAATCCTAAAAAGTAGAACTATGAATAGAGCCCGAAATAAAAATATTCAGAAATAAAACTGCAAACGGATTGGATGCCGCAACAATAGCATTCTGGCTCCAGTGAGCAACCTTAGCCATCCCTGTCTCCCTCTAGCTGGTGATCCCGGTCACGTGACTGACCTCCGGGTCGCCGATGAGCCTCTGCAGCAGTGTACAGCCGAGGTTGCTGGGGTCCTCCCCGCGGGAACGGTACAGCTCCATCTCAACAATCATCTCCTGCGGAGGGGTGTACACAGAGCCGTCAGACGCGAGACAAACTGCCAGTGCAGACGAGACAGCCAAATGAGGGATGGGGACGAGGCCGGGGCAGTGGACGTTACTGTCAGCACTCAGCAGTATGGCATACCCTCGGCACTGGCACAACATTGGTACGGTATGCGAATGGTAACTCACCGATGAAGGCAGCTTCGAGATACTCCGTCCTAAGGTATGCGCAATACATATAACCAGCCATATTTATCCCTCGCCGGCACAGGGGGGGGGGGGGTTGATGCAACCCCTCCTAAGGTTTTTCGCGAATAACTCGCGTAAAAAGCGACCGATCGCGACGAAACTTTCAGTACCCTCGCATTGAGCAATTTTACACCTACCCTGAAAATTTCATGACCCTGACCCAAATGACCTTTGACCTGTGACCTCTTTTCCGAGATCATGTTTGGCCGGAATCGCGATTCGGCGTATGTCGGCTCGCATTAGCCGCGCGTTTGCAAGCTTTTCGTGGTTTCAAACGTTCAAACATGTGATTTGATGTTGCTCCCATACATTAGGGTGAGTGTCTAGGTCACCTGAAGGTCAGGTCGGGTCATTGACCTTTGGTGACCTCGGGTGACCTCGGTTCACTTTTTCGAGTTTTACATGTGGAGCTGATTTCGAATTTAGCAACCATTTGAACATTTACGAAGAAGTTTTGGTGCCTTCGTAACATGTTACGAAGCTGTCAGAGGCGGTTGACACGTATTACGAATACCCGTCACAACCCCTACCGGTTGACCTGACCTGACCTGAGTCCTGACCCGACCTGGTCTAAATGCTTCAAGACATCATCTCTGGTCAAAACTAACACGATATTCGTGATCAGCACCCCGGAAAACCACATAGCAGCCACACTTTACGACTTTCTAACAGGTCCCGATTTTCCCGGTTTTCGGGTCATTGACCTGACCTGGAAGGTCACCCGATGACCTAGGACCTTAAAATTGGGTATCATCGGCTTCCTCTCGTGACGGGCAATACGCTCGTTTTTTCCGAAGCTCTAGCTCGATCAGGGGCCAAACGCGAGGGGGAGGTCGTACCCCCCCCCCCCCCTTGTGCCGTCGAAGGATGCAAAATGGCCTGTGCCGGCGAGGGTTATGGCAAATAGCATTATCACAGCGCTACCATTTCATTTTTGCAAAGAAATAAAACTGCATCGAGCAAGCACATTGCAATGCTGATGCGATACAAGCGGCCCAGGACAAATTATTTTATCAATTTTATTAAAGGGAGATAATGAGCTTTCTTTTTTCTTAAACAAAAATTACTCGACATCTATACTATTTCTACTGTAGTTTCTATAAAATATGAAAATTTCCTAGCACATTTTCGTATGTGAAAAAGGTTTTTATTTTTGCAAAAAAGAAGCAGTACTTGCAGTACTTGTAACACCCACCGAAATGCGTTGTCCTTCTCTATAAAAAAGTCGCAGTATATGGCGCTTTTGTTTCAAACAGCGACGCTTGGGTTTTTGTTTGTTATCGCCTTGTCGTTGCTTGGTTGTAAGGATTCTAATTTGAATTAGAGTTAATTCGGTTTAGAATTAATTAGATTCTAATTTGGGGGTACATAGTGCCTACTCTTCTTTGTTTCCAAGTATTATTTTGCGCCACAAATGAACGGCATGCGCCAGAAACGCAGCCAAATCTTGCGATTGCGACTACGAAATTCATTATTTTGGCCTCAGAGCCTGAAGCGATAAATACAAGCATATTTATTTCAAAAAGACTTCAGGTTTGTCGAACGGTGTTATGAGAATTTTGATAACAGTACTGCATAAGTTTTTCAGTGATGCCGCAAAAGTGTTGTATCTATCTTCTTTTATTGTGCACAGGGTTGTATACCAATCAAGTCGATTGAATTGATTGATTTGATTCAACGCGTATTTTGAGTTGATTGGATTGAGTCGATTGACTTTTCGAGATGACTGGTTGACTGACTCGTTTGACTTTAGCGACTGGTTGACTGATTTGATTCCCGAAAATTAGAGTGACTCGTATGATTGAGTCGATTGAATGGAAAGTTGAAATAAGTTTTAGTTGACGAAAAATAATGAAACCAATTGATGACATCAAAGATCACAAAACTACACTGAAAACTGCTTGTCATCACAACTGCAATATGGGGTATAGATGGCCAAATAAAGAACAGGGCCTAAACATGAACAGCCAACTTTGACTTTCAACTGCAATGACTGCTCCAATCCTGTGATAGAACCTGGCGATGCACCTACCTACCTTTCTGCACTCAGCAGGAAACTTTTTTTTTAATCCAGATGATAAAGTGCAAGGCCCTATATACTAATAAAGTGTGATTAATTACCTACTAATTCACATGACACATCTCCACATCTCCTCAGAAACAACCCACTGAACCAGGGGGGGTCCGTCCCTTTACCGGACCATAGGAGGAAAATTGCTACCAAATGCTGCCAATGTGACGTCACTGGGATGGTCGAAAGCTGATTGGTCGCTGAGATTCAGGCGATGCTGTCAATTCTGGCGCACCGGCGCAGTGTTTTCCAGCCGTTGCGTGTATTGTTATACGGAGTTTGTATATTGTTTATTTGATAATAATATCACTTTTTATGTGTTTGAAGATCGGAAAAGCATATACATAAGTGGCATTCACACACTTGTCGTCTCAGAGATCATGAAGAATGACCAGCTTCAGCAGTTCAGCTCAGGTATTCAATTAATTCAACTGTATAAGCATGAGTATCATAGGCAGATCAGCCACGTTTCAGTTCAACCCGGTTTAACCATTTTTTGTCATTTTTGGCTTTCAAACGGAGCATGATAATCTCATATTTAGTTGTAAAATACCTTAGCATTGTTTAAAACATAATGAGAAGGAGAATGGAGATGGAATAGTTGTAAATTGTTTCGGATCGGAAGTGGTTAGCTTCTATAAATCTTAATGCTTTGTGAAAATAACAACTTATTTGTCAAATTAAATAGTATCAAATAACAAATCAATCTATGCTTACCTCCCAGACTGGAAAAAAAATTCACTCACTGTCAGATGCGTCAGGGCCCAGGGGCTTTCGGGTCTCAAAATTCAGCGCAAGTGATTTCTCACCAAAATTTTGGCACATCTTTTGTGCAAAGTTGAAGCTCATTGTTACTTCTTTTCAATATTAGTTGTTGCCAGATTTTATAATCTGTATCTAAACTTTCAAAATTGAATTTAAAAGGATTTCTGACATGCTTATTACTGAAAATCCCATTCTTGTTTATGTAAATGTTATGTCATTGACATTTGCTAACTAAACAAGCTCATCCTTGTCTAATGTCTATATATTGGTTTCTATTTATACCACCTGTGCTACTACTAATTTCTATTTGTTGAGACTATTTACCTAATGCATTTGCTTCATATGATTTTATACGCAGACGCACCTGTGCATGGAACAGTAATGCCAGACCCAAATTCAAAATGATAATGAAAAATTGTGTTATTTGCTTGTTTCAACTGAATTCTGAGTCAGGCCTGCAATCAATACATAAATATAAAATAGGTACATGTTTTGAGGCTTCATATCAGCACATAGAAAAGGCAATCGAAGAAAAGGCACCTTTGGGCATTGATTATTTTTGCTTGCCATCGCTTAGTGAATCTTTTCATGTTGCATTGTGTTAATAAACTTGGTAATGTGTTTTGCAGGTCCGGGGCTGGTCCTCTGGCGTGCAGGACGGCGCGGAGTGGCTACCTGCACATAACAACACAATGACTGGCACCGAGCTGAGGGCATAAAATCACATCATATCGACTTCAGCATCTGTCTCCCAGCTTTGGAGACGTCGCCCGACGCCCTGAGTGGCGAGCGCCAGTTTCCGAAAAGAAGTTGAGGAAGGCGACCCGAAAGCACCCGCTGGGCTGCCGACACTCCTGCGTTGCCAGCAGGGCGTGCTGCGCAGTAAAGCCTCGCTGCGTGGTCTGTACGACATCCGACACCGGCACCCAGACGTGCAGTTTCTGATGACATCCCACCTCAGCCAGGGCTGCCCCGAGAATCTGCTAGTGCTGACTGCCTGCTGCTGAGGCCGACCTGCCGACGACCTGCCGGACCTGTCGCCGCCCTGGTGAGCCTGAGCCGCCCTGGGACTTGCCGCCGTGTCTACGCTGCCGCCCTGGTGAAACTGCCGTCGCCCTGCCGAACCTGTCGCCGCCCTGGACCTGCTGCCACCCCGGCGGACCTGCCGCCGCGTCTGCGCTTCCGCCCTGGTGAAACTGCCGTCGCCCTGCCTGATCTGTCGCCGCCCTGGTGAGCCTGCGACCGCCCTGGGACCTGCTGCCACCCCAGCGGGCCTGCCGCCGCGTCTACGCTGCCGCCCTGGTGAAACAGGTCAGTCGTCGCCCTGCCGGACCTGTCGCCGCCCTGGTAAACCTGCTGCCGACCTGTCGCACCTGCCACCGCCCTGGTGAATCTGCTGCCGACCTGCCTGACCTCTCGCTGCCGTGGTGAACCTGTTACCGACTTGCCGGACCTTTCTCGCCGCCTTGACGAGCTTGGGGAGCCTGTGCTGAGGTGCCACCGCTCTGTTTCACGTGTTATGTTGCCCGGTTCCTGGCTGTCGCGGAGTCAATCGGCACATTGTGTTTGGAGAGGCGACATCTTGTACAACTTTCCGACAGTTCGGAGCATTTTATTGTACCTACTCAAGTCGCAAGAGATTAGGCTTGTGCCTTATTTGTCCTCTACCAATCTGTCCAATATGGTTTTTTATAACTGCGATTTATGGTATGACATAAACCGGTATATTGTGTACGCATTTGGTTCGTTCCAGTCAGAAGTTTGGAATGTGTACATATACTTGTGTTACGGTACAATTTCGGTTTGTGCAGTTCACACCTCTCTTAATTATGGGGCGAAATAGACGCAAAACCAGGGCTGCGGAGTCGGAGTCAGGGTCGACAGTTCTGACCGGACTCGGAGTCGATTTTGGAAACCGAGTCGGAGT